ATCCTCCTGATTTTACTAGAACATAGTTGGGCCACCTCTATGTTCACATGATGTATGATTATTCTTTAATTTGGTATATGTGTATTGAACTCAACTAGATTGGTTTCTCAATTTAGTGATGTGCTAATGTAGGAGAAGATGATAGGTTATCTGTTGTCGTGTGAGGTTCTGTTACTCCTTAGCCCTAGCATAAATTTCCAATTCTAAGAGCCTCTAAGTGAAAGCAAAGGAGAATATGTTATGACGTGTCAACTGCACACTATCTGTGTTATCTACTGGTAGAACATATTCTGCTACTTAATTATGTACTACAATTTATTTGTGATTCAGATAGATTTATCAGAATAGAGGCTGAACCCAAGTACGTACCTGGGAAAGTACTGAAAGTAATATGTTTTGTCAAGAGTTTAGGCATTATACTTCAAGTGGCAGAATATTGACGTAATTATAAAATGCCTGATTGGACATTTGTTTTTAATTAACAGTGGCTAAAGGGAGCTGAGTATGTGTGGCTTGAATGGGCAGAGAACAAATACAAATCTCATTCCAAAATCTTTAAAAAAAAATATTTACTGTATCTAACATGGAAGAATTGGCAATAACAGTCTGGTCTGAGTTACAAAATATATGCTTAGAAAATTTTGTTTTTGGCATTTTGTGCCAAAAATTGGCAAATAAACTGCGGAAATTTTGGGGTTCTAAAATTGAAAAATTGTGCCTAGCTATATTATGAGATTTTGTCCCAAAAATTACAAAAACAAAATAACTGGTACATGAAAATAAAAGTGTTTACATTCTAAAAGTTATGGTTTAAAAACTGAAAACTAGTGAAGCAATAGAAATGAATACTCCTAACATATTTTAGGCCTTATATTTTCTAATGCTTACTCAACTTTCACCATAATTTAAACCATAACTTTTAAATTATTATACTGCCTATATAATAGCATTTCAGAAAAACTGTCTCTTATCACCCAGCTCAATTGATGAGTTATGTCATCGAACCAAATGACACTTAGGCAGTGAATTGTGAGAGACAAAAGATGAATCTGAAATGATATTCTAACGGTGTGACCTCGAATCAAAATGAACAAAGGAATGTGAAAAACATCATGTATATATATGTACACACACGACCAAAAATTGATTAATTCCACATGGATTGGCAAAAGTGACCAGAACAACCAGTTCTATAAAACAAAAGTATCTTGCATAACATCATTTTAAGAACTTTTCTAAAGAAGCAGTGAATAAAAAAGCATTCATTTCAGATTAATTATTGTTATTCCATTTTCTGTTTTTAATACTTACCGTATAGATAACCAAAACATCTTTTTTCATAATATTGGATATGCCAGATACAGGTATAACTTAAAGCGACATGTATATTGAAAACAATTAATACTGCTGGAAAGGCAACGTGGGCTATACTTTAGCAATACGTATTTGAGAACAGTGCTGCATGCACTCGCAATGTCTTATTCATCATGCCAGATACTATCGAGTCTTGAGAAGTTAATTAAGCCTCCTCAAACATGCTTTATGTGTTGCTGAATATATGACGAAAACGATTATCTACTTTTTATTCAATGCTAAATGGTGTAAATTTGTGAAGTGATGATTGTTTTACCAAACCAAAGAAAGCGTCTTAATTATTCATTGTTGCCTATACATGATACATAGCATGTAGTAATGTTGTGTTCTTAGTCAGTGCTGGTATAATTTCTATCAGTCTCGTACTACTGATCTGCGAAATTTTATATAGTACAGATTTATTTGTTCCAGGTAGTGTGTGGCCATTTTTCTCCTTAAACTGCAGGGCAATCCAGATGCACGGTTTTTGATAGCAGTATATGAAAAATAGGAAGCATCTTCCTGCTCTTTATTAGGGAATGACATGATGGATTATGGAAGCTACACCTTTATGGTATCTGAAGGATACTTTCATACTTCTTCAGATATAACCATACAAACTACACTAGAAGGGGTACCATGTATTTGGCAGAATTAACTTCCACCAGAAGTATTTTTAAGAACTCCAAAATGTAGTTAAGCATTCAGATCATAAGTTCAACTAGATAGATCCCGACCACAGCCAAGAATAGCTAAGTGCCACTTGAATTAGGTTGGGGATATTGGAAGGATAGCAAGAATGACCTCAGCGTTGAAAATAGGGGCTTTGTTATATAACTGAAAGGCACACATTTCGGCTCAAACCAGGA